CCCCCCCCAGCCTTTGGCAGGGGGGAAATGTCGCTACGGCCCCGGAGAAAGGGTTTGGAAACCGCAGGCAGCAGGGACGGGGCAGGCAGGGAATTCGGCAGGGGGAGGTGTTGAAAATGCCCGGGGTGCAGCTGGCCGCAAGGCGACCGACTCCAACCGGGGGGCTGGGGACCCCCCCCCGGAGGTTGGGGCGCTGCTCGGCTCACCTGCGCCGGGGAGCACGCCGCCCGGGAAAGCTCCAGGAATCCCAGCGCCTGCCGGGCGAGAGAAAGGCGGGGATGGATGAGCACCCACCGCCGCCGCCCCCCGCCCCGGCCCCCGCCGTCGGGGCCGCGCACCTACCTGGTACTTTGGGGGGTTTCGCTGCCGCGCCCACCCCGGGCTGCACCGCGCCCGGTACCACCGCACCTGCGGGCAGCAGAGACCCCCTGAGCCCCCGGCACCGGCTCCTGCCCGCCCTGGCAGGCACGGGGACAAGGCTGGGCTATGCTGGGGACGAGGGGCATGTCCTACCTGTGGAGACCCCCAGGCCAGGAACACCGACTCCTGGCACGCCACCAATGCCAGCACCTGGGGGCATTGGGAAGAGGAGTGTACCAGCGTGAGATGCCACCACCGGGCTACGGGTGGCCAGAGTGGTGACAAAGGAAGGGACAAGCTCAGGACGGCGCTTGGGGGGTGAAGGGGAGACCCTGAGGCAGTACCAGGGATGGGTCCCCCAAACCTGGGGACAGGGACCAGGCAGCTCGGTGCTCTCCACTCCTGGGGGCTCAGGTTTGGCCAATGCCCCTTTCCTGGCACACCAGGATGTGCCGGGGTCCCTCCAAATTGTCGAGGATCTCTGCGAGACCAGCACCTCCCGCTTGTCCCCCCCCAGCTCCAGGGGAAAAGCTCTCCTAACCCAGGTTTCCAGGGGACACTGGAAGTCCCCAGGGGCTTCCCAACCCCCCTTGGCGTTGCCTTGTTGCCCGGCCCAGCATGGCATCGGTCACCCCTGGCACTCACCAGCTTTCGCAGCAGCCTTGAGCGCGGCGGCTGAGGGAGCACCACCGGGGAAGACGCCCCCGGGGAAGGCGCCTCCGGGGAAGAGACCCCCAGCACCTGCCGGGAGGAGAAAAAACACCCTGAGCCTCCCCAAAAAAGCAGCCGGCAAGAAGGCGTCGTGCCCTCCATCCCGGCCCCAGTGGGCCCAGGGGGTGGGGAGCCATGGGGGGCTGCGCAGCGGTGCTGGGGGGCTGGCGTTAGGCTGGGTAAGGCTGTGGTTAGCGGGCACTGCCCTGTCCTGCAGCGGCTTCTCCCTGTGTCCCCCCCAGATACCTGCTCCCACCCATCACCCACTGTGTCAACACCACCCGGGGCACCCTGAGGTGTCACTGGCTGCTGCGCACGCGGGGGTCCCCTGCGTCCCTGGGCAGGCTGGCAGGACACGTGCTGGCAGTGTCCCCTCTGCTGCAGAACCTCAGGTCCCTCCTCGCCTATTGCTGCTTGGGGTCCCCCAGCCACGTGTGATACCATGACGTTGGGGACCACAGTGGTGCCTGGTGGTGGCTGCCAGTCTCTCAGGTCTGGGAAGGGTGCCCAGCCCGGGTGGGACACACCAGGCAGGCTACGGAGAGCACCCGGTGGGGACAAACCACGTGCTTGTCCCCAAGGTGGGTCTCTGGGGACATTGCCCCAGGGGACAAAGCCTGGAGGAGGGGTGGCCGGTGGTCCATGCTCACCTGGCTGCAGGCCAAGTGGACCGAGTCCCCCAAGTCCTCCGACCCCTGGAAAGAGAAGTGGGGTGAGGTGGGGGGCAGGGGGGGGGACATGGCCAGGGGCCAGAGGAACAGGAGCATCCCCCTTGCACCATCCCTGCGGGGTGGGAGGATACCCCGGGGACGGGCACAGGGACAGGTGACAAACGTGCCCGCCAGCATCCAGGTCCCCCATCCTGTCCCTTTCTGCCTCTCCCGCCCCCCACCCTGCCAGGCCACGAGGGGACAGAGCCGAAATGTTTATGGCTGAAGGAATGAGTCCCTCCGGCTCCGGCCAGCGCTGCCTTCCAACATCTGGGGCTAATCAGCCCTCACTCCCTCCAGGCGCAAATTCCAGTGCCTTTGGCTCAGGGCGCGGACACCGCTCCGGCTGGGGCTTCACGGCCGCGCCGCGTTTGGTTTTAATTATGCCGAAATAAAGGGCCTTGTTTTTCTTTCCACGAGCTGAAATCTGAGTAAACGGAGGTTGCCGGCCCCCGCCTCAGGCTGGCGCTCCCGCCGCGCAGACGGGCTGGCTCGGGGGACCGGGGGGGGGGGTGTGCAGTGTGCCCCTGCCCTGGGGCACAGCGGGTACCCCTGGGGCAGGCAGGGAGGGGAGACAGGTCTCCATCTACAAGAGCATTTCTCTCTGAGCTTCCATGCCACCGGGCATCTCCGCTGGCAGCAGGCTTGCCCCCTGCACATTCGGTCCCTGCTGTCCCAGCACCTCCCAGCTGTACCCAGAACCTCCTCACCATGCCCTAGGCTCTGTGCCCTGGGGTTGTGCATCCTCCTGCCATCATCTTATCTCTCTCCTGGTGATGCCCCTTCTCTCCCTTTCATTTATAGGTCAGACAAACCCAAGCATGGGCTGCAGGAGCCCCAGCAGAAGCTGCTCGGCCATGAAGGCAAGCAGAGGTGGTGCCAGCTTCCCACGGGCACGGGCTCCTGGCAGGGCTGAGCAAGTGTTGTCCAGCTTGGCACCTTCGCGAGGAGCTTTGGCGCAGGTTTGCAGGCAGCAAAGCACCCCAAAAGGGGGGTCCATGGGGGCTGGAGGGGAGAGGGCAGAGCGCCGAAGCTGGGTGATGAGGAAGGAAGGCTCCCTTGTGGCTGTGGGGGCTCAGGGGGGTTAGTGTGGCAGGGCAGGGCGCAAAGTGCTGGCTGCTGCGTGGCTGGGCCGTGGGGGTGACCAGGGCAGGGGGTTCCCCTTGGCCACGTAGGAGAAACATGAGGGCAACAGAGACTGGGAAATATCCTGGCCACTGGCACGGCCGGAGGCGGTGGGAGAGCCAAGGAAAGGTGTCTTACCTGGTTTGAGAGGTTTTGCTGCAGCCCCGAGTCCTAGGGGAGAGCGAGGGGAGAGGGGTCAGAGCCACCCTTCCTCCGAGTATCCCCTGAGGCGGGGACACCATGCAGGATAGGGCCACCCTCATGGCAGCCCCCCTTCTTGCCACAAGGCAGCTCTGCCCGGGGTGCTGCCTCCCCTCCATGTCCTGCACCCCCTGGGCAAAGGGGTCCCAGCACTCACCTGCTCCCAAACCTCCAACTCCAGCACCTGGAAGCAACAGCACAGACTTAGCACCCATTGCTGTGAGCACCCACCACCCACCCACCCACCCACACCAGGCTCCTGGGGATCCATGGGGAGGCAGAGAGGGTCACAGGGGTGCAAAGGGATAGGACATCCCAGAGGGGATGTCCCCAAGCTTTTGGCTGAAACACCAGGGACAGGCTGTGACTTCTGAGCACCTCCCGTGGCCAGGGTGTCAGTGGCAGCCCTGGGCTAGTGATCCCCAGGGTCAACCTGGCATTGCCACCCACTCCTGTCCCCATGCTGTGGGGCTGGCACTGTGGCAGCCACTCAGGGCTGAATGGCCAGACAGGGTGTCCCCATGTCCCCTGATCCTGGCTGGCAGGTCCCCAGCCTTCCGTGCTGGCTCAGAGGTACCTGGGGACCCCCCAGGCGCCTACCCCATCCCTGTGGGCAGGGTGATGTCCCCCCTGCAATGCTGCCTGAACCCCCTTACCTGGGAAAAAGCCTGCTCCTGGGACTCCCCCTCCCGGGATAGCACCAGGGACCCCTGCGAAAGAAGAGACCCTCGTTAAGATCCCCACAGAGACCCACGTGTATCCAGCAGGTCGAGGTGGGGGGCTCCTCCTGGGATGGGTAGCTGCTCCCTGCAGAGGAGCTGGGGTGTAGAGTCCTGGGGCAGGGGGCTCAAGGGCATGTCCCTGCCTTTCATTGACCACCTCAGTTTCCCCAGTGTGACAGTGGTGACAGGGCTTGGAGGTGCCCCAGCTGGGAACTGGAGAGGGCATCTGGGTGGGGGTGTCAGCAGGAGTTGGTCCTGCTTGGGAGGGAGGGACACGGGGCTAGTGCCCGGCTCCGCTTCCCCAAACCCGTCCTGTGCCCCAGCCAAAGCTGTCTCCATCACCTCCAGCTTCAAGTGGCTCTGGGGACACTGGTGAGGCTGTCCCAGTTCATCCCAGCAGCCCATGCTGGTCCCAGTCAAGCCTGAGCATGCTGGGCTCTGGCCGCCCCCTGCCCACACTGCCTGCCTGATGAGCTGGAAGAGCCAGCTCAGGCCAGCAGGACTGGGGTGCTGGACACAGGGGGGACGGTGCTGAGACTCATCAAACCACCTGCACCCTATGGCCAAGTCCCACCGTTTTCCAGGGCATCATGCTCAGAGGTCGTGCTCAAACAGGGTTTTTTGGCAAGGTCTGCCACCCACAGGCCACCAGGCAGCCATCCCCTGGGTGATCCCCCCCTGCTCCATCAGGGCCACGGATGGGATGGGGGCTTCCAGGGGGGTTGATGGCACAGGAAGGCTGCAACGCAGAGGGATGCTCTGCTTTGTCTGGGGCATGGTTTTCGCACCAGGGAGGTTGTTGGAGGGCTTGCAGACGGCTGGCAGGGCTTGCAGTGAGGATGGCAGGAGGATCTGGGGATTGCTGGAGACAAGTGCAGGGCTGCTGTGGCCAGCACCTCTGCGACAAGCTGGACCCAGCTCTCCTGCCTGCTCCGGGCAGAGGGGATGAAGTTCAGCTTGGATGGGCACTGGGGACCCTGCGGTGGCATGGCTGGGACCTGAGGACCTGCTGTCCCGCTCTGAGGTTGCAGTGGCCTCCCCTGCCACCCGGCCAGGGTGGGGGGGACCCAGCACCCCCAGGAACAGGCTGCACGGTAGCCAGGGTCTGGGCAGGGTAGTCAGTGCAGGCAGGTGGCAAAGTTGGCACACCATGGAGGGGGGGCACATTATGCTGCGCATCTCTTCTCCATCCCAGATGTGGTGCAAACTCTGCAGTTCCCCCCTCTCTGTGCCCCATAGCCCTCCACTTCACCCCAACAGCTGCCTGCTGCACCCTGGCAGGAACAAAGGTGTCCCCTGAGCCCTGCTTTTGTGTCCCAAACAACACAGGGCACCTGGGACGCCCCCCTACCCCTGCCACACAGAGAGACCAGGCACTGGGGTGCACCCACACGTGTGTCAGGGGACACACGCGTGCAAGAGAGGCGTCAGGCTGTGCGTGCACAGGAGATGGCAGGACACACGCACTGGCAGGACACACACCCACAGACCCATTGGGACACACAGGCAGCCAGAGGGCCCATGCCAGGACCTGTCACGCAGCCCCCATGTGCCCCAGGGATGCCAACGAGCAGGGCTCACCCCTGTGCCCCCCAAAACCATCTCTCAGGGCCCTGCCGGGACCAGGGGCTGAATCCAGCCCTGGTGCAGCTCATGTCCCTCCGAGTGGAGGGGACACGTGCTCAGCCATCGCCCCGGCCAGCCGGCTCACCCCTCTGGCACGGCACAGCCCGGCCCGGCTGCCGGCCAGGGCTTTACGGAGCGGCTCCTTTTCCCGGCACATTCCCCCGCCCAACCCCCCCAGCTTGGAAAAACAAATCCCAACTTCTTGCCTGTTTCCAAACAAACTCCCAGCGTCCACACATCGCCCGTCCTCCCCTACCCGCCTGGCTGGGAGGGGACACCCCATCACTGCTGGGAGCGGGAGTCACTGGGATGGCCAGGATCCGGCCGGAGACCCCTATACCCCCGGCTGGTGACCGCCCCCCATCAAGCAGGAGGGTCCCTGCTTTGCTAAGCCCCTGTGGTGCCCCCCCAGCCTCAGCCCCCTGTGGCCAGGCAAGGTCCCCAGTGCTGGGGTGATGCTGGGCATCCTGGGGACCCAGGCTGAGCTCCCCTGCCCCTCTGTCCCCCTGTGCCAGGGCTGCCTGGCAGAGACCCCCCCGGCGAAGGTGGGACAAGGCAGGATGGCTCCCAGCCTGCCTGAGGTGTGTGGGGACCCTAGGAACATCCAGGGGACACCTGCCTACAGCCATGGCTGCCATGTTCAGCCCTTCATCGCTGTCACCCTCCTGGGTGTTGCTGGACCTGGCAGGGGGGGTCATCCTGTGATGCCACTGCTGCTGCCCCCTCCCTGGGCACCCCCCAGAGACCATCTCAGGGCCAAGAATGCACTGTGCCCATCCTGCACCTTTCACAGGATTACAGGGGATGTGCCAGCTCATTGACCATCTCCATGCCCTGATCAGGAGGCAGAATGGGGTCATGAGCCCAGGCAGGAGGCGGTGGGGGGCAGGGGGCAGCGGGATGGCCAGGATGCCACACGGCTTTGGAGAGCCAAGGCTTTCACTCAGGAGCATCGCAGGAGGCTCCTCCCCCTTGGTGCTCTCCCTGGCCAGCTCTGATGCCCAACATGCCCAGCTCTGCACTTCTCTTCAATCTCGTTTACAAGCTGCCTTGGTGCTGTCAGAGCCAGGCTCGTCCCAGTGGGGAGGCAGTGCCTGGTGTGGGGATGCTAGGGGGACAAGGGGGTCTCTGACCCACTCAGCTCCCTGGCTGAGGACCAGCCAAACCCACCCCAGCATCACCAGTCCCGCTCATGGGCAGCCAGGCTGCAGCTCAGGTGCTGACAGCAGCCCACACACCTGGCACCGGCTACACCATGGGCTCCCTGAGGCTACACTGTGGGCTCCCTGGGGTCACACTGGGCTACAGCAATCACTCTTTGGCCAGTCCCTGTCCTCCCGCAGCCCTCTCCACTCCCAGCCTCAGGGGCAGCATCCCATAGCCCAGCTCGGGGTCCACTCCCTGGTATGGCATGCCCCCCCTTTGACGTCTCCATCCCGCAATCCCTTGGCACATCGGGGAAGGGAAAACTGAGTCACCAGCCTCCCAGGGCTGCTGGAGCCCTGCGCTGCCTCTGCCCCTGCTCTGAGCCTGCCAGGACTCCGGGAGGGGGGATTCTCCTGACTCCCAGCTTGTCTCCTGGGCTGGGGCTGGCTGGAATCCCACAGAGCATCGGGCTGGCCCCCAGCACCCCCCCCAGGGATGTCTTCTCAAGCCAGGGGCAGGAGAGTTTGCATCCTGTGGTAGGGTTTGACCCCTGGAGGTGCTCAGGTGTGGAGTCTTGTTTATAGAAACCAGAATTTTTCTTCCAGAGCTCTGCACCCCAGGTCACTGTTTGCAGTATCCACACTGTTCCATTACCTGTGTTATTTCGGAGTAACCACTGTCTGTACCGTCCGCACCATTTCTACCTGCACCACTGCTTGCAGCTTTCCTTACAAGCCAGAAATACCGATGGTTTGCCCTATTTGTCAGCTTTCGAGACCGAGACCAGGACCCACTGCAGGACACGAGCCCACTCCCTCGCCGGGTGGCCAAACCTCGGACCTCGCCGCCCTCCCCGCGCCTGTGGGCAACCGCTGCCAGAGCAACCTCAGTGCGTAACCGCGGCAGAAATTTCCCCTCTTCCCTCACACCGCTTGTTTGCTTTTTCTTTGGAGAATTGGTTTTGGAAACATGCAGTCTCCAAGCAACTTTGAAACCGTGTTGCATCCCAGCCCAAGCTCGCTGGTAGCAGCTCGGGGAGGGGGGGAGCAGGGGGGGCTGCTGGCTGTAGCCTGGCTCCTCTCCAGCCCCCCAAGGCTCCAGCTTTCATCTCTGAGTACTGGTGGACGGGCTGCACCCTGCCAGCTGTTTGTGGAGGGAGCAGCCCCAGCAGGTCGGTGCCTTGGGGAGGTACCCAGCTGGGAAGGGGAGATGCCATCCCAGCCCCACAACTGCCCCAGGGGCACCTTGGAGACTCTGGGTGTCCTCGGGAGGTCTCATTGGTGCCCAGGCAGGGATGCCAGCACAGCTGGTGCCAGACTCCCTGCAGCCACCTGAGCCACCCCCCCGCCCCGTGGTTCCAAAGCCTGCAGGGCTGGGACCACCCTGGGGTCCTTTGTCCCCTCTCTGGGGGTGTCATTTGCAGGGCACCCCCTGTGCTCCAACACGAGAAGCAGTGAGGGATGGATGGATGGAGGCACTGAGAGATGGATGCTCCTCACCAGACACTGGGAGGTGCCACACATGGCACCTTTTAGTGAAACACAGGGCAGCTTCCCCGCGCAGTGGCCTGGATCCGGCCGTGCACATCCTCATGGTGCCCAGTACAATCCTGCTCCCCCCGGGGGGTGCAGAGCAGCAGGGGCTGATCCCGACCCTCTGCCAGGAGCTTCCCAAGTTCCACCAGCCACTGCAAGCTCAGGGGTCAGCCCCTGGGCACGGGGACAACCTCTGTGCTCTCCCTCAGCCTTGGGGTCCCTCAAGGGTCCCTTTGCTGCCGGGCTGGTCTGGAGCTGCACCGGCAGCGGGTGCTGTTGGATGCTGCCCTGAGCCCTCTCCAGGTGGGTGCACCCCACAGCACCCTGGCATCCCCCCCCAGCCTGTGCCACCAGCCCATGCCTCTGTCCCAGCTCCATCCCCGAGGGCTGGCAGCGCAGGGAGCACGGCTGAGCCTGCCTGGTGCCCACCCAGCACACCAGGCTGCAGAGACACCCCTCACTCTTCCACGGGGAAGCGCTCCCCCGTGTTCCCATCAGCACTGGGGCCACCTCCAGGGCTTCCTCCTCTATGACCTGCTTCCCCAACCAGCAAACACCCCTGGAGATTGAGCCGGCGACTGGAGTGGGGCCAACAGACCCAAACTGCTCAGGAAAAGGTTACAAGATCCCACCCCGGGGCCAAAGCCCTCCCGAGACTGTCCCAGTTGGCCACTGCTTGAGAGCCAGGGAGCAAAGCCACCGCAGCTCAGCAAGACAGTGCAGAGCATCACTGTGGGGGACGGAGGGTGCCCAGGACTGAGCTGCATCCCATCAGGGGTGGCATCTTGACCCCGAGCTGTGGCTGCCCAGGATCAGGCACTGCCAGCAGCTCAGCTTTCCAGCTTGGCACCGCTCCGGGGACATGCTGCCAGAGCCCACCACGCCGGAGCAGAGCGGGGAGCTGCGGGGCATTGGCAGATGATGCTGCCAAGAGCAGCCTCGAGGACTCTGCCCTGGGCAAGGAGTGGCCCAGCCGGCAGCTGCCCACTGCCAGCCACAGCCCTGGCACTGTCTTCTGCTGCCCACGGGATCCTGCCCTCTCCCCGCCTCTGGTCCTTGCTCCTTGGTGGCTGAGAAGCCCCATGTGATGGCTCTGGCACTGGCCCCTTTGCTGAGGCGGGCTCTGTCCATTACACGCTCTCCATGGGACAACCACCACCTGCCTCTCTGGAGGTCCCTGTCCCATCCCTGACCCTGCCGTCCCCTCCTTGCAGACCTTTGCCCAGTTTGTCCCTTACAGCCGGTTACAAATGTGTGCCCGGAGCCGCTCTCTCCGTGCGTGCTCGTGGCCCGGCCACCAGACAGGAGAGCTGTCCCAGGGGCAGGCACCTGCAGCTCTGGCCACCTCCAGCTTGGTCACACGCCACTGCAGGACTTTACCACCGCGGGACCTCACTGCCATGGGACCTCACTGCCATGGGACCTCACCACCATGGGACCTCACTGCCATGGGACCTCACTGCCATGGGACCTCACCACCATGGGACCTCACCCCCGCGGGACCTCAGCCCCGCACCTCACCACCATGGGACCTCACCACGATGGGACCTCACCGCCATAGGACCTCACCCCCGCGGGACCTCACCACCGCTGCACCGGCTCTCACCTCCCCGTCCCAGCAGCGGGTTTGCTCCATGTGTGTGTCTGCGTGTGACAGGGGTGTCGTGCAGCCCCCGCTGCTGCCCGGCCGGGGTCCAGCCAGAAAGCCATGACCCCAGGGGGACGGACCAGGCGCTGGGGACACGAGTGCAGGGAGGACGGTGCCAGGGCCACCCCAGGCACCCAGAGCCGGCCGTTCGGGCAGGTCGAGCTGCTCTGCCTTAGGGCCACACACTGCGCAGCAGCTCGCACACAGCGACTGTGGGATGCACACACACACACACACACACACACCCCTGCCCCTCGGGCTCACCCCACCGCAGCACCCGGGGTGACGGGTGCCAGCTCCCCCAGCCCCTCACAGTCACAGTCCCCGTGGGCGCTTGGTAGCCACCCCCTGTTGCTCTGCTACATGTCCCCAAGCCTCTGGTGTCCCCACGCCCCTCATGTCCCCGAGCCTCTCTCCTGGATGCAGCACCTCCAACCTCCCCCCAACAAGTGCTTTGCACAGCAGTGCCATTCCCAGACCGCCCTGTGTCACCCCCCTCAGGGACATCCCATCCCACCCCACCCGGACGTGGCATACGCCACCCACGGGCTTGGGGGGCAAAAAAGCCACCACGGGGTCGGGGGGCAAAAAAGCCTTCCGTGGAGGCGGCACCCAGGGATGCTGCCCTCCCACCCTCCGGGGTGTCCCCAGGGCGAGGGGGCCGCCTGTCCCTGCCGGGGCGGGCGTGGGGCTGCCCGGGGGTCCGATGGGGAGGGCAGCAGCCGAGCCCCGGTGCCCGTGGAGGGTCCCCGCGGAGCTGGGGCAAAGCGGGGCCGTGGGGAAGGAGCCTTTTCTTTCCTTACCTCCTTGCTGAGAAGCCGGGAGGATGGAGAAGAGGAGGAGGACTCCGGGAAGGAGGGGTGCAGCTGCCTGCCTTGCCATCTCTTGAAGCAATGCCCCCGTGCTCCCGCAGGCAGTGTGTTTTATCCCGGAGCTGCTTAATTGTTGCTTCCAAGGATGCGAGGGGAAGGGGG